TTGATGTGCAGTTGGCGTCTGCCAGCCTTCATCTACAACTGCTGAATAAATACTGGAATTTCCTGTTTTCCCTGCCAGTTGTGTGTCTGTAGGTATGACTTGGCTGTACTTGAAACTGAAAGTACCTTAGTTGTTGGGTTTGGTGTTGTCTCTTCACCACTGGTCACACAGGGCACAGCTCTGTTTCAGTCGACAGCGAAACATATCAGTGGTCCATATGATTAACATGAAACTAGATTTAAGGTTTGGATAAAATACGACCAGTTCTGAGGCATCAAGGATGTCAGGGACAGTGGGTGTGGCACAGTGGAGCAGTGGTTCACACTATGGCCTCACAGCAAGAAGGTTCTGGGTGTGAACCTGGCCTCTCTGTGTGAAGTCTGCATGTTCTCGTTGTGCCTGCACTGACTTCCTGCCACAGTCCAAAGACATGCAGGTTAGGTCGGCTGGTGGGTCTAAATCTGTAGGTGTGAGTCGTCGTCTGTGTGTGTCAGCCCTATGTTAGACTGTCCATGAAGAGACGCTCAGAAAAAGAGTGAATTTAATGGTTTTATTAAGTGAAGGGGCAGCGACCTCTTGTGGCCTCTGTGTGGACCAGCAGCCGTCACCATGGAAGATGAACCTTTTCCATTTCTCTAACCAACAGCCCACAGACAGAAGAAAAACTGTAAAGTCAGCAGACAGTCGCTACTGACTGGACCGACTGACACTTAATGTAGATGCAGTGGTGGAAACAAGAGAGAACATCAGATATCACACAGTATTTATATGTAGCTGTTTTTGTAAATACTGGGAACCTTTAACAATGTGAAGTGAAACTGTGGACACAGTGTCAAACTCTGTCCCACAGCTGCTGCTCATATTAAAGCTGAGACCTGGGACTGTCCAGGTTCCTACAGTCTGGACTGAGTCTCTCCTACGGTGAATGGACTTATACTTGTACAAAGCTTTTCCATTAATTGCACCACACTCAATACTTTCACACTCTGCCCATTCACACACTGGTGTCACCAGGAGCAACTGGGGTTCAGGGTCTTGCTCAAGGAGACGACCCGCTCTACGTCCTGAGCCACAGCCGTCCTATAGATACCTTTTTATGATCAGGATTTAATTCACAGTGTTTGATGCCTGTTTTATTATCTTAACTACTGCAGTGCCAGAAATGTCCCGACAGGTCGGGTTTCTACAGACCAGCTACAGAACAAGTACGAGGCATGACCACATCACACACGGCAAATAAGGTCTCGTATTCAGTTAAGTCTCTGTCTTTGTACTGTTGTTTCACACGTGGGTAAATTCAGCCTTTAACAGAAACAGTGAACCCTCATTTGAACCAAAGCTCCTTAAAAACAGTTTATTTTAAGCAGCATGTCCTGGTGTTATCAGAACACTAATACAAACATAAACTCGTTTTCTTAACCTTGAAGAGCCCATGGTGCTTTTCCTTGTTTTCTGACTTATCTGCAATGTTACAACGGTAAATTATCAGCTTAGACATGACCTAAAGCTCAAAACATGAGGTGAATGTATGTTTTAGTAACTCGGTTTTTACACATATTGCAAACCCTTGCTCACGAGACTTTTTTTCTAACAAAATAAAGTATTACGTGATAGTTCAAGAATTTTCTTGAATAGGCATAAAATGCAGGCCGTTGCCATTCATGTGAGCTTGCCTGACATCCACTGGTGCCACCACCATATATGAAAAAGCTACATTGCCTTGTTTGTTATGTATGTTTTCAATAAAGCTTATTTAAAAAATAAAAAAAAAAGACATCCACTGGTGCAATTGTGCCGAGTGGAATTTTTCAACTTTGTGGATATACAGTATTTTCCCTCCTGCTGCTGCAGTGTGACCAGAGGATGTGGAGGAAAACACAGGGCCTGAGGTTACTGCATGTCCAGGAATGTTCCTGTACAGGGACTCGCTGTTTTACCTGATCGGGTCTAACCCATAAGCAGTTGGCCAGTGAAGCCCCTGTGGCAGTGAATGATCAGCTGGAGCACCATGAGTCAGGTAAAGAAAATTACTTTAAATCTTAGTGTTTGATGGGGAGTGACACAGGTTCTGGTTCTTTTCATTCCTCATGTGTCCAACACACCTGGTCAATAAAGCTGAGTCTGATATCTTCTTCTCTGGTGCTTTCTGGCTGCTGGCATCCTTACTGTTGCATTGCTGCCACCTGCTGGATCAATCTGTTACAGCACAGTCCATTGTCCCTCAGAAATGAGAAGTCATCTTAATCCTCTCCATTTCCCCAACTTCTCAAATACTTCCACTGTTACTGATCTTGCTCAGCTCTTTTACACCCGTCCCCTCTCTGCCCTGTACCTCCTACTGTCGGCACTGCTCATATAACCCACTGGATATTTCCTAAGATATCACCTGTGCTCTTTAGGTTTGTTGTGTCTGAGTGTCACGGCTTACTATCCTGCCCACTCTGCTCTGGTTTAAACACTGAATCTGAAGTTGCATCACATGTTACATTTTACACATCTACAACAGTTTGACTTAAAGCAACACAAACTAACAGTTTGTTAAAGATCTAACTCTGGCATCTGTGGAGGTGAAAAGGAAATGACAAATCTGAACACTCATCAGCTGTGAAAGACAAACAGCAGGAAGTGAGTGAACAGTGCTCAGAAAATGATCCAGTCGGTATCTTCTTTAAAAACAGCTGAGCTTGTTAAAGTATTTTATCACTTCACAAAAACACCAACGTACTTTGTCACTTATCACCAATCCACCGTGGCTGTGGGAAATAATGATCAGTATCCCTGCATCAGAACGTCCAGAGAAGATGAATGTACATTTTGACATGTGATCCAGAAACATCTGCTGATGGTTCAGACAGAGCCAGAAGACTGAGGTTGTTTTACAGTGGAGCAGCACAGAGAGTGTCAGCATTGTCCCTTCATCAGCCATCTGTCCACGGGGCCTGGTGGACGTGATGCGTGATGAATTAACATACATCCAAGTAAAGATGAAGGTGGAAGAAGAATTCAGTCTCGATTTGTTTCTATTGATAAGTTGAGGCTGAATTGTTTTACTGACTATATTGTTTTATTTTTCACACACTGCATCTTGTAACTGCTTTATATGTGATTTTAAAAAGTGTCACGTGATTTATTATGATAGATATTATTAAAAACAGAGTAGCATGTAAAAAAGAAACTCAATTCATGTACATAAAATCAAAACAAGCAAATCGAGAGCTCGTCAAATGAAAAACTAAACAAAACTACAGCTTCACAATTGTGTCTCTGCCAACCAATCAGATTCACAAAAACGAGTCAGATGTGATGTCAATGACTTTGACCACAATGATGTAATCAGTTCATACTTGAGTCCAAGTGCACGTTTCTACCAAATCCAAAGTTCCAACACTGTGTTCCTGACACCGCGTTCACAGAATGGGTCAGACGGACGAGCTGAGAACACAATGGCTCTGGCCGTGGCTATTACCTGCACAGGTTTGAACAGCAGCAGCAACACATTCAGCAGTTTGACAACATCTACATGACATAACAAAAAGAAACTGCAAATACAGAAAACAAAGCTGAATAATGTAGTTGTGTTAGCGCTTATTCAAGGGTTGTTCCATCTGAGAACAAATACAAACTGAGAGGAAACAGCAGGTTCAAACATCGGCCACCAGTGCAAAGCTTCACTGTATCACAACAAAAGCTGTTAGATTGTGCAGCAGTTGTAGTGAGGAAACGGAATCGTGTGGAACATTTAAAAGGCTCTTTAAGAATAATAATTTCAGATGAAGCTCTTATGTTTGTTCAGATCTGACTGACTTGTTTGCTGTTAGAATGACAGATTGTGATGACAGATAGTTGTTGTTGTTTTTATAATAAAGTCCACAGAGAACTATGAAAACAGATAAAAGTGGGTTGGACTCAAAAAGCTTTTAACGTCTTACTCCTTTTTGACCAAGGAAAGTTGATTAATTTGAGTAATGTGGTTCATTTGCTGGAGGTTGGGCACATACACGTAGTTCTCTCAGTTTTTATTTATTTAATTATGTTCAAAATAAAGATCTGGTGTGAAATGACAAAGTATACGAACTGTGTCTGTGTGAGTGTGGAGTAGATCTGGTCCTGGTCCCTGGTGGCTGGGTGGAGGCTCATGTAGGTGGACCCTTCATGTGTGGAGGCTGGAGGCAGGTTCTCATAGGCCACAGCCTGGTTTTCATACACAGAAACCTAAAAACCAAACAGATATTTGACAGAGAGTAACAGCACAGCTCAAACACAGGGCCAACACCTGGAATTCACTGTTTCCAGGTGACGTCTGAGAGCAGAGAGGCAGTGACTGTGATACACCCGAGCACGTGACTCATGTGGAGGCCGGAGCTTTCTACTAGACTGGGTGACAGTAACAGAAACCGACTGCTGAACTGCTTCTACTGTCTGTAAACTGGGTTTACTTTCACTAAAATACAATAAAGCAGCACAATAAAGGAAACGAGCACAGCGGTTTAGCACGTTTATCTAACATTTTGGTGCTCACACCCGTGTGCAGTCAGTACCTACACATATGATTATTAGGGATGTCCTGGTCTAGTTTTTTCATCCCTGATCTGAGTCCTTTAATGCCACATATCACTGTTATTGAGTCCAATCTGATTCATAAATTTATCTAGATGTCAACTAACAATCTATCTGAAACACAGAAATCACTGCTGTAGGAGACGGACACATCTTATTTTTCATATATTTTACTTGACCCAAATGCTGAAGCTCCTGGTTCAGAGCTATGAAAAGAAAAACCATAAGCCTGGACCTGCCCTGGTACGGATCCTCAGGACAGGATCATCGTGTCACTCGTGGAAAACATACAAACACTAAGTATTTACACTGGGCCACACTGATCGACAATGATGTCACAGTTTGTGGTTTGGATTTTCCTTTTGTGCCGGTTTGACTTGATGGACTCCAGCTTTAAGGACCGTGCTGCAAACTGTGTGGTCACAGTTGTGTTGTTTTGTCGGTCTGACTGAAGCCATCTCAGACAGCAGCAGTGAGAAGACACAAAGATACAGAAACAGTCACCTCAGTGTTTGTGCCACCGGAGTCTCCTCTGGTCCTCAAACCTGTGGAACACACAAAAGATTGTTGCCTGTTATAATCTACTGAAAGTGCAGAAGTTGGACGGTGGCTCATGTTGGGATGAAGCAACAGGAAGCAAACACCCACTATTTCAAACTGAATGAGCTGAAGCACAGATAGAAACATAATCCAGTCACAGTAGTTTCTAGAACATGTATTTGCTGTTGCAGCTGTATAGAATTGTAACATGTAGAACACGGCGCCGCGGCAGTGCTCGCTCTGTGGCCTGTAGGTCTGAGCTCGAGTCATTTGTCCCACACTCCAACAAGGAACATGGACAAAGTAAGAGCCGTGTTTTCATGACAAGACTGTAAAAACAATGGTCAGGCTAAGAACTAACAGAAGTGAAGACGCTGTTATGCGATCGCCCCCTTGTGGCTCGCTGCAGCATCAGTCACAAGCCCCGCCCTCTTCGTGATAGTGGACATGAGCCACACTAAAAAATGCAAATCACATACATTTCCCAGAGGTCACTTCAGTGGTGGTTGGTAGATATTATCACACTGTTTGTGTAACCGGTCGCCTTTGGGTCTCTAATCTGTCCTCTTAATCCTCGCCTGTCCCTCTGGTGACTGGCCGTGCTGCGTTGTGTTTTGTTATGGGACACATGGACCGACACACTTGCTGTTCACGGGCCCTTTATTGCTGGTCACTGGTCACAGAAGAACAATGCATATAGCAGTTAGCCTCCAGTGAGTGCTTAGCTCGCTCCTCTTTATACTTGACTCCGTGCGGGAAAGAGAGCGGGAGAGCAGCTGAGAACCAGGACAAGTTATTTTGCACAGCTGGACAAAAGCAACAAGAATTGTCAAAAACAGCTGACAGATGTACAGAACCATTTGCATGTTGTCCAAAAGCAATTGCAATTTGATGAAAACAACAAGAAATTGCTGATATGATGTGAAAAACTGACAACAGAATCTGACGGTTGAACGAGTAGTTCTGAGAAATGCAGTTCTGTTGTGAGAAATGAATGAAAGCGATAGAGAAAAACTGTAAAAACAGCTTCAGTCAGACAGAATCTCACATGCAGCAGGTTACAGAGCAAGTCTCCACAGATAAACTCTGAACGGGTTTTCAAATGTAAACACACGGACAATGTGCAGAGAAACTGAGGAAGGAGGGACGAGTTTCACTACTAACTTATAACAAGTGGACCACTGTTCTAATAGTTCAGTAAGTGTCTGAGCTACAGAGCAGAAATCCACCCAGTGTGATCTCTACACACTGGAACTGACCTACCATGACTAATAGTAAACAGCAATAGCAGTTGGTAAGATGTTCATGTTTGGAGTAAAGCAGGTGTCTGCTGGAGGCTGCTGCTCCTCATCTCTACATGTACCGACAGGAAACCACAAGTGAGAAACACTTGTTTTGTTTTTGCTTTCTGTTCTCACCAGCCCAGTTCTCTGTAGGCCTGAAGGACCGGAAACCTTCTTGTAACCGGCGGGTTGGCCACGCCTACACCGCCTGGTTAGTAATTTGGCAGAATAATCATGGATATAAATAACACCTGGGGAGATGCTGTTGCGA